CCTGCCCTACCTTGGCTGTGTCACTTCATGCCGGTCGATATTTTTTTAGAGAAGCAACGGAGATCTTCCCTCCTGGAGTGCTTCAACTTTCTCTCCGACTAAACAGATATTCTAGATAGTTTCCTTAAACTAGAACCCTCTTCTATCGCATCCTAGATAATTCAGATCCCATTTGCTATAAATGTCGTCCTTTTCCTCATTTATTCAGCGTTTGAATAAAAGACTAACTTGACAGAGTGACCCAGTAAAATTCTAGCTGGCTTCAAATCAAACCAACTCTTTTTGTCACAGGATTGCAATTTAAGATATTACATTACTTTAGAAGTTGAACCAGCAAGAAAAAAAATCCCATAAAGAGAAGAAGGAAAATCTGATTTCTAATTTGAGAACACATGGTGTACAAAAGCAGACTGCAATCTTACTTTGCTTTTTGAATGATATCAGTGGATATGGATGGCTCCCCCAAATCATAGTCTGTTACCCAATATAACCCTCTGTATATTCAAGGTGCTCTTCTAGTTTTTAGTAACTCCAGGAAAATTTGCAGATAAAACTGAAGGAGGAAACTTTCTGTGACAACTTAGCTTTGTGGTTCTGCCTTCAAACATTTGTGGTTCTGCTTTTTCTTGCCGTTGGCTCTCAGAATTCTTCTTGTGTTTGTAAAAATTGGGGGGAGGGAATCTGACTACAGTTAATTGTTTTGTCTTTAATTAATGGAGGGCCATGTGGTCATTGAAGTCTATTGTGCACTCAGAATGGATGTCATCTTTGAAGTCCATACCCCACCTCTACTGTAAGTCTCTCCACTCAGTGTGCCATTGTGCTGCGGGCAGGGAAGTCACCCTCCCCAGCCATCTTCTCATCCCTGGTGTCAATCCACACCCTGTAGGGGCAGGTATGAGCATCATGGGGTGTAAATAAAAAGTCCATTAAATGAATGGGGCTTTGTGTCACTATGGGTCTTTCACAGACAGAGTGCTGCAGTTTTTGTCTGGAATAGAATTTTGCTCAAAGGCTTGGAAACCATACAGGAGTGGTTAAACATTATCAGGGAAAGAGGATGCGCAACCAAGCACAGCGTTCAAGGGCTTTATTTAAAAGCATCCGTCCTTTCGCCATTTGGGACTTGACAGTCTTCTGAAACTGGCAGCTTGGTTGTTTCTTGTGCCATCTGTTCTCTTTCTTTCGGTCTGCTGAGGAGCAAGTAGCAATGAGGAAGGTGGGGGTAGAATGGTACCATTAAAGCCAAGCTATTCTATAAGGAACGTCTTTTATTAGCAAGCTCTTCCTTCCAAGGTAGCTTTCACCACAGGTGACAATACAAGACTTTAGCTCAGCCCTCACAGACACAATACTTTATTTTTTTTGTTCAGTCTTGAATTCTGCATCTGTTTTTGCTCTTTTTCTGCATCAATTTGCAAAAATAAAAAAAATAAAGGACATTTATTTTTGTTTAATGCATATCTTTATTGTTTCCTGGCATGAATGAGCCTTTTTTTTTTCTTTTGCAAATGATGCTTCCTTGGCATAATAAACTTTTGTTCATAATTTGACCTAACAGCTTCTGAATGCACTTTTTCTTAATATGCACATTTTTAAGCTCTTATGTCTAAAAGAAAAACTCTTATGAACTTAATCATATTTTTTTTAAAAAAAATAGAAAAGTGCATTCTAGGTTACATTGAGAAGTACAAATTAAATATCAAGATATGAGCACAACGGGCCCCCTCGTCACACAAGCCAAACTTGTTTCTGCCACATATGCTTCTTTTTAGCTGCAGATTGATAATCACGTTTAGCTCCACAAAGTTGGTCAACATTTTATAAACTCAAGGAAAACCTTTTCATTACTGGCAGTCAGGCTGAGAAAACCGTATTTGTTTTCTTTCACTCTCCTGAATGGCTTTTAGGTACTAATCTAAAATAACATCACTTTCTTTCACTCCGTGTTCTGCATTTTTTGAAAAAAAAATTACAGCCCGGTTTCTTGTTTCTGTCTGTCTAATAGTGTGTGCTGTTATTCTACTTTGCTGAGAGGCTGACCAAGCCAGTCTATATTCTGCAAAAGAGGATCAACAAGCAACCAAACAAGTTTGAAACACAAAACAGGACAGATTTGCAGACCTGGCAAGAAAAACAAAAGTGTTAGAAAAGGTTACCTTTGTCCTGCAACTGTAACCAGAGTTAGCTAATGCGAAGGATGCCACTGAGCTCTCGGATGGGTTTTAATTCCTTTATTTGAAGTCCACTCTGGTGGCAGTCGGGAGAGGCCGTTAGTCATATGTGTGGAGCACATAATGTGCAGTTGGGCGCATGCATAGTTCAGACTTTGCAGGGCATGGATGGGAAGCTGCCAAGGCAGCCCCTGTTTCTCCAGCTTCCTGTGACTGGAAGCACCCAAGAAATACGGCTCTGCTTTGTTGTTGGAGAAAAGGTTTCTTGTAGCAAAACAGACACTCTGAGGATCCTTTGAAGTTTCCCAGTCACAGGCTAACCTGTTGGATGTCTGGCCTCTCCGAATCATTCATTGTGACAAGTCTGGTGGTCAGAGCCACAGATAACATTGCCAGATCAGGATTTTTATATATACAGTAAATATATATAAAACAAAGAGCAATCCTGGGCATACAACCAAAGTTACTATAGAAATACAATGTTTGCAGAAATATTGTGGTTGTAAAGCCTCCCATTCAAGAAACTGAGCAGAGACCCACCAGATGCTTCTTCTGGCTTCTCTTGTTCAGACGGCATTTCCAAATAATGTAGCCCCATGCGATCCCTTCGGTCTCCTGCTTGTGGATCCTTTCATTTGAGAACTCGATGGCAAAGAGAGGTTGCAGTGTTGTACAAGAGTCCTCATCTGTAGCTCTACCTGCCAGAGGTAAGCAGAGGAGAAGCTTCTAGCTGTGCTGCATAGGAAATGGCAGAGAGAAGCAGGCTGGGAAGGTCTCAGAAAGACTGAAGAGGAAAGGCAACCGGTGTCTGCCTCTGCTTCAGCTGGAGATACCAAAAAGGCTAGACCCAGTGACCTCGGTTGATGGGTTGTGTTCATCAAGTCAGTGTCAACCACGTGGATAGATCCTCTCCATGACGAAAAGGCCCTGACCCCCCCCCCCCGGGTCCTTGAGGTCTTCCACCTCAAACGGAGCCCATTCCCTTTGCTTCTGGTTGTCCTGCCTTCTTCTCTTTCCTTCCAGCTCTTCCAGCATTAGAACCTTCTCCAGATCTTTGCATAAAGTATCCAAAGTAGGTTAATTTGGGCCTGGTGGTTTTGATATTTATGAATGATATGAAAAAGGTGCTTATGGAAATACTTTTATTAAAAGAAATTTATTTAAATAAGTCATAACACAAACAACCTAAACCTAATCGGTAACTGGGATAAAGCTATAAAGCTAAATAATTATTATGTTGAAAGTCAAGTCAAATAGTCCAGGACCATTCAGAATGCTGAGAGAGTATCTAGTTAAAAGTTCTAGATGTTGAAAGAATAACTCTATATAAGAATTGGTTGCACAGCCTTTCAGATTCATTGTCAACTGGGTGCTTCAGAGCATGTGAGAACAGCTGCTATAACGTGTTGCAGACAAGTGTCACACTCACACACTCATGCTCTGAAATATCCTTTGAAAACACCATCCAAAGCAGGGTTTAGCATTCCACCTTGAGCCATCGTTTTCATCCAGACCCTGGTCGCACAGAAGATGGTATCTTAATTCCCAAAAATATACGTTCCATCGGTATACATGACCAAAATTGGCAGCCCAGTTTATCATACGCTCTTATTCTTCTTCTGTTTTAAATTTTAATAAAAGTTTATACATTTTAGCAATTACGTGTTCATCATTAGCACACAATTTATTTTCAAATTCTGACTTAATGTTGTTCAACTACAAATGTCCTTTTGACTACTTTAAAAAATTTTCAACCACTAACCAGTTCTGACCCTACTTATCTTTTCAAAATTGGCCCATCCCACCCCATAGAATCCTGTTCCTTCTTGGATTCAGACTGAGGGTAAGTTGTCACATCTGCAATTTCTTCTTCTTCTTCTTCTTCTTCTTCTTCTTCTTCTTCTTCTTCCTCTTCTTCTTCTTCTTCTTCTTCTTCTTCTTCTTCTTCTTCCTCTTCCTCCTCCTCCTCCTCTTCCTCTTCTTCTTCTTCTTCTCTTCCTCTCCTCTTCCTCTTCTCTTCCTCTTCCTCCTCCTCCTCCTCCTCCTCCTCCTCCTCCTCCTCCTCCTCCTCCTCCTCTTCTTCTTCTTCTTCTTCTTCTTCTTCTTCTTCTTCTTCTTCTTCTTCTTCTTCTTCTTCATTTAGTGCCCCTGTGGCATCTGCCATGGGTTTTCTATTGGATCTGCAACTGCCAGAAGGAAGGGTTACTCCAGGGGGCCTTTAATAAACCGGCACTAAATTATTCCCCTCCAGATGAGGTTGACAAGATGAGCCTCTCTCATCATCACTTCTATCCTTTGGAAGCCACTCCACCATGACGGGTTACCTGATAAAATAAGCTTGGGGGTCTTTCTGAAAGGCAAGATGGATGTCAGTGAAACTGTGAAGCAACATTAATTATGAAATGTAATAGCTTTTCTGGAGTTGCCGGGATCAGAGGGATCTTTATATGGCTGCATATTTATGAATCTGAGGCACAAAGCAGGCGACTCCTTACTTTTCCTCATGGGCTCAGTTTAATTTAATAGAGGTCAGTTTACAAAGCATACAAACTTCTGAGAGCTTCTTGCCAGTGAGGGCAAGCCTAACCTGAAGCTCACTTTCATAAAGAGGGCTCCAAGTGCCTCTTGCCAAGAGGTTTTATTTTTCTTTTCTTTTTTCTTTTACATTTGTTTTATTAGGTTGTTATAAGACATACATAATAAATTATGGTAGTTTGATACGGTGGTATTTATACAGTGTTGACTAGAGGTTATTAATGATCTAATGTTTAGATAATTTAGACCGTGAAAGATTTGTTAAAAGGATGATATCATTGTTACTGTAACTATGATTTAAAATGTCGGTTTTAATCAGCACAGGAAGATTTAGCCTTTAAATTCAGCGCTAATTATGACATTAAGAAGGTCTAGTTTTCCCTCCAAGGGATAATGTTGGGTGCCATAGACAGAGTCTCTAAAAGGCTTCTAAAACCTGATAGTGAACAAGAGGCAATCAGTGGCCCTTCAGAGGCCTTCAGAAGTAGGTGGCAGGACCATCTCTATGGATTTATTCTAGCATTTGTAGTCCTTTTGGGGAGAAGTAAAAAAATAACCCCATTGTCTGGTGTCCTCCAAATATATTGGATTTGAATGATGAATGTCCAACAGACCAAAGGGCACCAAGTCAAAATGCCATGCAGTGGATTGTCTTTCTCCTGTCCCTCCTTTCTTCAAAGTTCTCCTTCTCTGAAGTTTGGAGCTTGTGCAAAATAGTTGCAATTGTCCTAGACTCTATGATGGCTGGCTAGACCTAGGATGTGCATCTTGAAGACTTGGGTGACCTCAGTTTCTTCTCTTGGGCCTAGAATCGCAAGAAACATTATTCAGTAGCAGCATTCATATCACACATGATCCAGTTACCCATTTTCTAGGTTCCTGCAATACAGACTGGGTTTGTAAACATGTTAAGCCACAGAAAAACTGAACAAAAGTAACATCAACCAAGACTAGGAGTATGGTTGGCAAGGATGCAGCTGCTATGCTAGTAGAAAGATCCGTAAGTTCAAAATGGCAGCTATGACTGTGCGGTTGAGAGACCAAAGGATGGCTGGCACATTGGTAGTCATTTTAATCTGGGTGGCAAAAAATACAGGAATTTTTTAACAACTCCTTAACTGATAGACAACGAGAGATTTAGAATAGTGAAAAGCAATTTTTTTAAAAAAAGTTGCCCTAAAAATAAATAGATCAGAACACACATTGTGGGTGCTGAAAACACTTATATCACACCTTGCAATGTGTAACATTATTTTTACTCAACTTACTTTAACAAGTTTTGCACAAAATCTGGAAATAAAACTTTTATTCAGGCCTACAGTTTAATAATCACCGATGAAAAATGAGCCCTTCTTGTAACAGTGAGTTAAAAATTTGTATCTGTAACATATGCCGGGATATGTTTAATTATAAAGGTGATGATAAACCCAGGTTGCAACACGTACCTGGCAGAGAGAACTGAATAGCTATTTATATTTGCACCTGGAAAGGCCTCTTTTTGTTTCCATTTGGGTCCCAGGTAGTACTTTTCGAGTGCAGAGATTCATGCAGAAATATTAAGTTGTGCAAAAGTGTGTCACACTCAATATATTCAGACAAAGTCCAGAGGTTAAATGGAAGGTCTGAGTTCCTTGTGTCAAAATAATATTTACTAGTCCCTAAAACAGCTGGTAGCACTTAATCGGGAATTGGATGATAGAAATGTCCGTGTAATCAGATGATCCATGGGGAAATGATTTCATGCGGTGCTCTTAATGAGGTTTCTTTTTTCTGTCATATTCGTGTTATCCCACAGTCTTGCTTCAAACAATAAAGGTAATGAGCATTAGGAGCGTGTCTCTGATTATTACTCCACGGGAAACTAATCCCAGTGTCAATATTTGCACGAAACTAAAAGCTTGCATTTTAAATGTATTTTCCCTCCTTCGTATTAGTCTTCCTGTGATCCTTTGATGGGACCCAGGCAGCATTCCTTCTTCCCTTTTGTACAGTTTGGAAAGCAGCATTTAATGTGCATCTTTCCTTCGTTAAATGGTGGGAAGTTGAGGGGAGAATACGGAATATTTCCCTGCCAAGCAAATGTACTATAGGCTGAGTCCAACTGAGCTTGGCCCAAAGGGACAAATCCATGAAGATTTGTGGAAGATTCACAGAAGTGGCTGGCCTTGGACTTATTTTAAGGAAGGTGGCCTTTTTTCTTTTTTTTAACTTTTTAAACTTCACAATCTAACCTGTAGTTCTGGAATTTCCTGGTAGTCTCTTATCCAAATACTTAATAGGTCTTTACTGTAGGTTTTTGAGATTAGTCAAGGTTCACTAGATATGGTCGCCTAGTTTGAGACTCCATCCAAATCTAAGGAAGTCTGTGCCAAATTAACTTATTCAGGTAGAATATAATGACTTTTCTCTTCTATCCTGGCTGTAAAAAAAATACAATAATACACTAAGTAAAATACTACTTGCTGGTCTTTTCTGCAAATCCACTGCCTCAGGTATACATTAGAGGCACTCTGCCAATTAGATGCCATTTCCTCCAGGGCCGTAACATACATTTTGTGAGTAGAAACTTGCTAAGTTTGCAGACATGGGAATTCAGCTAAAATCCATTCTACTAAACAGATCAGAGTATTATGTAAAGCCGGTGTATTTATCTGAACGTTGAGCTTTGTGTTTAGTATATATGTATTTTATTACTGTGCTTTCTTTTACCTATTTTATCTTGGAAATAGACCTTGTGTTTTACCTTTAATTCATTTTCTTTCATATTGCCATAAGAATGATCAATCAATAACCTAGCTACCCAAGACTGCCTGAGGTAACAACCTCACTCCATCACTCCAAGCCCAGTTATAAGTTTCTTGTCTCTTAAGGACTCTTTCCCTAGCCTCAGGCTGTACAAACTGAAAAATGTCCATTATAACTGGACAGGCAGAGACCTGCGACTCCATTCAGGTTGGTGCAGAACCTGGCAACTTTAAAGCAAAGTAGCAAGCAAAAGTAACTCTGAGTTTCCTGCCCACAGGCCAAACTGCATTTGGTCTTTGACAATCTGGCAAAGCTCCTGCATCCCTGCAGTGGTAGCAGAATATAAATTTTCACCACCATCCCTACTATGAAGTTAAATCTTAAGCTTCATCAGACCTAAATCAGGGAGCACGGCTAAATGTTGTGGAGCAGCTAAATAAGCCTAACCAAACAGAGGTCTCCAGGAAGGCCAGAAGCAAACAAGGAAAGCAGCTGTCCTTATTCTTATGCATGTTGTCAAGCCAACCTCCCTCAGTTGAGCTCAACTCTTGGGCGTGTCATGGACATGACTTTACAGTCTACAAACCCACAAACTTGGTGCTCAATAGGCTGCAAGAAAATAGATAAGCTTCTCTTTGCTTTGGGTTTAGCTTTGGTTGGCTGAAGTGTCGCTCAAAAGTGAAGTGATGCCCCTTTGTATTTGTTGCTACAAACAACCACACTACTTCGTTCCAATCATGCACAAGCCCCTGTGCACGGAGAGTGGGTGCGCAGAAATCTCGGTGAGCAAATCACAGCAGCCAAATGTGGAAAACTGGCTTCACCCTAAAATTTCACTGAGGCCAAATGAGACGTTTCACTGCACTGAGATGGTGCCTCCCCAATCCGTTTGGGCCTCCTAAGCCTCACTAGTCCCTTTAAAACAGCATGAATTTGGATGCTGCTGCCATCACATGATGTACTCTTGAAATTATTCTAATTATCTTTTTTCCAATTAATCCCAAATACCTTGTATCCAGAAGTGTTAGGACTGCCCCAAGGGCTGTGGAAAATGTCCAATTTCTGGGACAGGAAGACCAGAGAATTCTATGTTTCTGACCCACATAGAACTGATCCAGCTGTTCCGTGTGATCCAGAATCCTCCAGAAGTGAATATTCTGGAACCAGAAGTAATTCAGGATGTTCCAGACATGATCTGACTCCAAGGATGGATGGTCTGGGATCAAAATGGGTTTATTCTGTGTTCCCTGGAATCTTCTCTTCCTCAAATGAGGATTTGTACTTCCCCAACAGTGAAACTTTAACTGACCACCTTGGATGGGACTTAGATTCCAGTAGTTAGAGCTCAATAATACGCAGAATCACTTTGATTAGTACTATCCATAAAGAGGCAGAGAAATTACCTACCCAGAAAGTAAGTTCATCATGATATTCAGGTGATTCTTCTGCTTTCAGTTGTAGGAGGTTTAGAGTATCCATTATCTGAGGTTACAAATCTCAGCACACCTCGAGAGGCCCCACATTAGGAGCAACCAGGCGGGGTTCAGCATTAGTAACTAAATCTTTCTGGAGAATGAATGAGCTGCACATGAATAGGAGAAAGAGAGCTAAGTTGCCTTTTCAGATGCGAGAACTTTGTTTAATGGCAGCCTTTATAAAATAAGCACTCATAATAGAATCCAACTTTATCTAACTGCCTGTCCATTATCTTCTTTAGTAACACCTTCCCTATCTAGGTATCCTGGCTGGGGCTGGGTTGTAGGGCATCCCTGCTCAGTGTAGCTCAATTCCACAAGTCACAATTCATCTGGCTTTTGAATAGCATTTATGCCCAAGTAACTGGACCCGTCCCCTGGTTCCTTCTCACAGAATGGGGCAGAGCTGTCCTCTCTGGCTGCCTCTGCTGGTGCTGTTCCCCTGCATGAATTACCCTTTCATAGATTGCAGTGGGCTGTGAGAATAACCTTGGGAGGCAGGAAGATGAGATAAGAGAATAGCTGACTCCAAAGGAGGAAAGCGTCTCAGGGGGGACCCTCCCTAGTTCTTTGGGAAGTAAAGGTGGGGGGAGGGGCATAAGAGTTTTCAGACCTGCAAGGTTCTTTTACTGTAAACTTACAAAAAACAAAACAAAACAGGTAGCATTAGTGAATATTGTTTTACTTCCCTGCCTGGATTGTCTCAAAGGGCTGGCATAAATACTGAATTTGCTTTTCTTTCCAGTTGTGTGTTAGTGACAGGGTCCTTTTTGGTACAGAGCTATTAACAAATATAAAAAAAGATAAATTCTCCTTTGAATTGAGCTCCTGAAGCCTTCAAGGATACCTCCAAGCAATTTCCTGGCAGCAACAGAGAAGAAGGTTGCCTTTTACAGGCTTCCATGATTTTTTTTTCAGCTTTCTAAGCCAGCCCAGAGTCCAGGCATTTTCTGGTGGAGCTCCATCCAAGAACTGGTCAGGCTGGTAGCCGAAGCCAAGATAGGTGACCCAGGTCCTGCCCTCTTCTGAAAGTAGCAGATAGATGCCAATGAGATAATTCATATGTTTATGGCCAAATAAGCAAAGAGGGACCAAATAATGGTAGTAGCAGAAGAAATGCAAGAAATATGAGTCAACACAAGTTCAGGTCCTGATAACCTCATTTATTACATAAACGTGTCCTTTTAATATATGTTAGGACATATACTCAAATGAACTATTTCTCGCAATGCCAGCATAACTGTGAAGGGGACGGGATTTTCCCTTTGATAAGGATGTGTTTCTCCATGGTCCTGTGTTCCAGCCTTGGGCCTCCACTGAATTTCATGGTGAAAAACAAACAATTAAGGTGGAATATTTGATGCTCATTCCTAGGAATTTGATATCAAACTCTATTGTTCCATCAGGTGTGCTTAAAGAGTGACTGTGTTACATCTGTCTGGTGGGAAAACCTTCATGTTTTCATAAACAGGAGATAATTGGTGACAACTTCAAAGAATTGGACTGACAAGGAGAAGAATGAGATCCATGGTAAACCAACAGAAAGGACCAACTATAGGAAGTCTCTTGATCCTCTGGCTTTCTGGTTCAAGGACGATGGCCTTGGCAAACATCCTTTCGTGTCTGTGGCCTGTAGAAAGAGGTAGTCGGTTACGGCATGGGTCTAATCCAAAATGTGAAGAGCAGGAAATGGCAGTTTTCACCTCACTAGTAAAATATAGTGAAGCCGAGTTGGAGGAAAGTTGCTTCAACATATTAAACTTATTGTAGAATCAGATATGACATTGTTTCAGCTCCTAGCTATCCAAATTGTCAAAGGGAAGTTGATTACACGATGAGAAGTTAAGTTGCATAAACTGAATGCTGGATTAGTCAAAACATCGCTGGGTATTATTCTTAGCATTGGAGAAGGCAACTTTTTATCCTGAGCTTGGAAATGAATCCAGCGTGTTTGCTTCTTTGTTTAGCGGTTTATTTGGCCCCTACATGGATTTTCAAGAGTTATTTCTAACGCTTGCATCATCTGAAAAGTTTTATCCTATTAATGCTAAAGCCAGAACAATTGTGTGCCTACTTTCTTTTGAGCAAAGTCACTTCAGTCAAGTTGCTGTCCTTCTGCTTTTTTTAGAGTAGCTTGAACTGATTTTGAAAGTTGCTCTGGATAAAAAAAAAAGATGCAAAACCTTCTTGCTCCCAATGGAACAAAAAGGTGTTTAAAAAGTATATGTGCATAATTAACTGCACCGGAATTCCTGCCGTGCCAAGGAAAAAGATATTTAATATTCACTGATACCCGCTTTTCTATTTGGCTACTGACCCTGTGATTTATAGCCATTATTTGTTTGCAGTGTATTGGATCGGCCATTTTAACCGCTAATTCTCTTCTCTCCCTGACTCTTTCTTTGCTTCTTCCTCAAATAGCTTTCTCAAGGTACTTCTAAAGCCATTTCTGGGATCGCTTCTAGACAGCCGGTAGAGTTCTTAGGGTTTGGTTATAACCCGAGACAGACTCGGGTTCAAGTCTGCCTGCAGCCCTGGAATCTCATTGGGGGACTTTAAGACAATCACTCTCTCCCAACCCAAAATCTCTGTTGCAAGCGGTTATTGTTGGGGGAAATTAGAGTCATGAGTGTTTTTCAGCTTCTGGAGGAGATCGAGACATAAAATGCAATAAACAAACAAACAAACAAAATGGCAGCAATCCCAGGGAAACTAGAGAACTTAGGAAAGTCAATAATATTTGGCCAAATATTGTGTTATTTTCAGTAAACATTAGAATTTCTTATCTGCACAGGTAGAATTTATATTTTAAAAATGAATTACCAGGATATTTAAAACAGCATTTCCAAATACTTGATTGTTTCAAGCATTTCGGTTGGGTTTAGATTTTTGTTTTCTTTTGATGTTGAAATACACATTTTTGCATGAATGAAACTTTTTTTCCAAGATGAACATACAATGTACAAATTTGTAAAATCATCATCATCAATTTAATAATCTGAAATGTGTTTCTTTAGTAAAATGCTAGATTGAATTCCTCGTTAGATGGTGGTTATCTTGCTTCTTTCTAGTCTTAAATTCACCCTGTGCTGTTTCTCTGCACTTCAGTCTGCTGGGCCAATAGAGGAAGGTTGTTGTTGTTTTTAATTATCTTAATGGTGTCCGTTTTCTGGTGATTGAGAGATACTCCTTATCTTTATTATGATTATTAACAAAAGTGATGTTCAAAAGAATTTTGCTTATGAGTATTTTGAACTTTTTTTGATACATCAGATATTTGACAGGACGATGAAAGGGCCTATCCTTTTTTTTGATGTGGGCTGTGCATGTGGCCCATATATGAAAAAGGGAAGGGGCTTTGGTAGGGTGGTCTTGACTTTTTTGACTCCCATCCTCTGCAGACAGCCATGTCAATCTAAGCCCTACACTATGAGTTGAGGGGCTGAGATCTCATGCATTCAAAGTTCAAGCTGCTTTCTTGAGAGGGAATATGTGACCATTTCCAGTAACGCAATTTGGATCTTAAGGTAGAGCCTCTTTATTTGAAGAAACAACAACATTGTGATAGTGAAGCTTTTTAAGCCTGCATGGAAAGATGAAAACCAGTTGTGGGAACATCTATGTCCTAAAACTGTGCGTAATGCCTTTATGGATCACATGAAGATTGTAAAGGTTAGCTGTGATGATAATATTTCATTATAATATCCCAGGCACTTTAGGATAGTGGCTTAATTTCCTCTTGAGCCGCTAACCAGCTTTTGTGAACACTTAAAGACTTAAGTGTGAAATGTGGTTTAAGTGGCTATTTTGAATATTTCTTTTCAGAATTCCTCACAGCCATTGACAAAATAGCATACGTTGAAGAGAATTGCAGGTGTGCTTGACTCAATTTTGAGTCAAATTAGACATAATGGTTTCAAATTAGGAAATGAGGAAGAGATTCAAATTGGAGCAGGAGGAGATAAATTGATTCAGGAATATTCAACATATAATTTCTGTGAATAATTGTTTATTTATTTGGAGGGTTTCTATACCACTCAGTGGAAATTGGCTGTGTGTGGCTTACATTACATATAAATGAGATTAAAGAGTGTATATTCTAAAATGCAAAGCATTGCACCAGATGTGAAAATACCTCTGCATTTGCAAATCTCCAGATTACAGGAAAGAGAAACTCAATATTTCCATCCCAAAACCTATCAAAAAACTCTTTCTGAAATCCAACAAAAAGAGAAGCATCCAAACCAACCTGAAAAAAATAGGCTGTGCCCCAGAGTTACTTTTGCAGGTGTACCTTATATCTTTTTATGCCTGTAATAAAACATAAAAAATATCCAAATAGATATTTGGAGAAGCGATTTGGACCTTAGTTGGAAATGGAACTTTTTGGAAGACAGATTCCAAAATCTAGCAAGCATTTGCCTTACATTTCTGTTGCCTTTGTGATAGTAGGAGTAAACTAGCAGGATAAAAAATAAAAAATATCCCCAAGAAACAATATTCCAAAATGATCACAAAAGTGATGCTAATCTGGATTGCTAAAATGACCATTATCTTCTTTCCAAATTAGCCTTCCTACCCTTAGCTCATTTTTGGGCTAGAGGTCCCATCTTTTCTCCCAGCCTGTCAGGACTTGTGCTCTGTAGCAACTGTAGGAATGAAATATGAAAAAGGTTTGCACTAAAAAAGGCATCTTTAGTCTTAAACATTCCCTTTAGTTTTATCAGAACACAACCACAATTTATTAATTGATACATATCAGATGCATCATTCTCTGTTGCTGGTCTGAAATCGTTAAATCCAATCTAATTTAGGTTTAAATCATTTAAGTAGCGTGGCATAAAGGGGAGAGAGAAAACTACCATATCTTTAATTCAGTTCCCAATAATGGGGGCAAAATGAGGGTCAGCTAGACATAACTGTAACAATCCTATCAATCAACAGAACAACAGAGCTGGAATTGCCAACATTCGTGTAAATCTGATAGGAAAGGTTAAAATCAGAGAATCTCCGCTTCAGTTCAAGAACGAAAACACTGCAGGTGTTCCATCTGATTCCCATCTCCTTTGACTGCACTGATGTTCCAGATGTTTGTAGGGTGGATGTGCCAGTAACGTGTCTGCCTAGGCTACAGCTGCTGACACATTAATGTTGCAGTTATGACTTGGCGTGTGTGGCAAGCCCCTTCTTCAAAACAGCTGCAGAGAATACCTATGTGGGTCCAGTCTTCATGTGGTGTGTGAATGGGACCTCGGAGCATTGGAAATATTAACCACACATTTCCTATTGGATTCCTTTGGCGGATGCCTGATCAAGAAAATGCTCCGGAGGTGTCCTTTTGAAAGAGGAGATTGGCAAAAACCTCCAAACAGGAAAACTGGTTTGTTTCACTGTAATTCGTAACCCCCTTTGGAAGGTGTCTAGACTTTAGTGAGACTGATCTTTTGGAGGAAATGGCCATCAACGTTTCAGTTGCTGCTCTTCAGATGGGTCCAGTATCCATCCATCTCCAACTCAGACAGACCCCTCACATCCTGGACATCAACTGTTTCAACTTTTCCCCTCAAGAAGCTGCTCTAGGGCATTGCATAGACACAAAACAACTAGACACAGAGAGGTTTTCCCCGTGCCATCACTTTGCTAAACACCTCATTCCCACAACATTGTCTTATGCCTAAAGATATTTACCCATGTAGTAGGGCTATAGTGCTACTATCTTTCTCATCTTCTCATCTTTCCTACTGCCTTCTCCTATTGGAGAATCACTTGTTTGTATCTTATGATTTATGATCTATGACTTATCACTTTGTTGTTTGTATGTACACTGAGAGTTTCTGCACTGGAGACAAATTCCTTGCATATCCAATCACACTTGGCCAATAAAGAATTCTGTTCCTGTTCTGTTCTGTTCTGTTCTATACTGTTCTGTACTCTACTCTATATTGGCCATTCAGTTTCACAAAATATCTTTCTCATTATATCACTGGTCATTATATTCAATCTTAAGGTATTTATAAAGATCATACATATGTTAAAATAAATTTTCATGTTTTTAATTTCTCATTGCTATATTTTTCATTGATTTTATTTGTCCTTTAAAATACTTCTTTTCCATTATAATTTGTAACCATTCACAGTCATTCACAACAACAACAAAATTCCTCTGGATGTTGATACATAAGAGATAATGCATTTTGCTGTGCATTTTCTTTTAATATATGTCTTTAAATGAACTATTGGGACAGTTTAATAGCTGGGAAGTCAAAGCTAGTCCGTGGGTAGCCAACTTGCAAAACACGTCATGTTTTGAAAATTATTTTTGTAAATACGTATCCCCTTGATAAATGGAAAAGGAATCCTAGAGTTGGCCCCCCACATACACACCCCTAATGTTTGTCCACTGGTTGCGCATCTGAGTTTTACAAGGCTGCGGCTTTTGTGTGCTCTTTGAAGCTTGTGCTGATATTCTTGTGGCCCAGAGGTGCTGCTGGTGACCATCGCACCTTGAGCATGAATGCCTGAGAGGAGGGGGGGGAAAGGCTTTAAAGGGGGTGGAGGGTTAATGCAAATAAACTCTACCAAGCTCTGCATTTGCAAATTAGATTAAAAAATAATTCAGCAGAGTGTCCAAATCAAATAATGTTTTTAGTCAGACTGGCAGTTGGATTCTTCATGGTCAGATAGTTCCAGGTGACAATTAAATTGCAAACTTCCCATTGAGCTGGTTTTCTGAGTCAAATGGATGCAGACCAGACTGACTCAACCCAAAGGCGCTTT